TGGGATTACATGTCCTCCCTGTGGTGGAGGGGTGAGGGAGCTCTCTGGGGTGCGTTTTCTAAGGGCAGTAATCCCATTCATGAGACCTAATCACCTCCCTAAGGCCCCGCCTGCTAACACCATCACAGTGGGGATTAGGAGCTCAACATATGAATTGGGGTGGGTGGGGGGACAGACATTCGGACCAGAACAGCAGGATTCAGTTCCTTACTAGCTGTTGGACCGAGAGCCTCAGTTCCATGCCACCTGGAGTATGACAGCATCACAGCTTGCTTCATCAAAGCCAGCACGAGAATCTGCCAGAAGTCAGTCTTTCGTAACTTAATCACGGAAGGGACATCTCCTTTCCTTTGCCATATTTTGTTGGTGAAAAGTGAATTACTAAGTCCAGCTCACACTCAAGAAACAAGGGTATGAATGCGTGGAGGTGGGAATCATCAGGGCCATTTTAGCAATCTGCTCTGGCCTGGCCTGTGGTGTGGGCCTGCTGGGCCGGGCAGCCGCCACCACCAGCCTTAACCTCTGTGAGGCTCCATGCCAGGACCTGGGCCAGGCCTCGGGATGGCCTCGAAGAGCCTCCTCTGCCTCCTCAGCAGCGGGAGACCGCTGCCGCCTGGTACCTGGCAGAGCTGAGCTGAGCAGAGTAGCCAGGGCCTCCTCACGGAGGGGGTGAGGGAGAGAGCCAAGGAGCTCGGGCACCGGGGCTGCAGGTCAGGCAGGTGCGGGGCCAGGGCTCGACCAGAGGCAGGAGGGAGCCCTGAGAAAGGGAAGAGTCACTTTGTCAGCAGTGAAGAAAGAGCCCCAGGGAGTGGGAGGACGCAAGATGGGCTGGTTAGGGGAGTGTGACCCAGACGGGCCCGAACTGGAAGCCATAGGGCTTGGTCCTGGGTTGGACAGAGGAGGCTGGAACAGGGAGGAGTCTGGCCGCTCCCGGACTCTGGCTTTGTCCCGAGGACAGCAGGCCCCACGCCTCCCCACCCAGCACGAGGGGTGTGAGGAGCCCCTCCTGTATGCAAAGATACAAGGCCTTTTCTCATTTGGGGCTGAGAGAAGGGAAGAGAGCTGTGTCTTTTGTTGTTATGAAACGTGACAAATGAGGAAGGGAGACCCCCCCCCCACTGTCTCACCCACACACACCCGATTGTCATTCTTCTGTTCCATTCTTCAAGAACGCTCCTCCCTGTCTTGACACCAAACTGATATGTCCACTTTACCGTGGCCCTTAGGGACAGCTCTTGACCTGGGGGGCCCCAAGATGCCGAGTCCCCCTCGTTCCTGTCACTCGTGTGGACCCAGGACTGGCCAGCCAGAGGGCCTACTGTAGACAGCAGGGACTCTCGGTTCACTGTTGACAGCAAGGCCCTGGGAAGGCGCCAGGGAGAGGGAACCCACTGCCGAGCCGCACGGTGGGCAAAGCAGAGCAGAACCCCCCGCCCCAGACTGAGCAGCAGGGGGGACAGGGGAGGCCTGGCTGGCCACCCACACTCGAAGCTCTGGGGTTTGTGTTAGCAGGAGGCCCCAGTTCCCACAGCTAGAACAGTTTTGGGTTTTGTTTTGTTTTTTTTTTAAAGCTTTCCTGCAGTATAATTTACATACCATATAACGCATTCATTTTAAATATACAATTCGATGATCTTGAATGCAATCACCCCCATAAATCCAGATGTCGAACATTTCCATCACCTCAGAAAGTTCCCTGCTGGCCCTTTGCAGTCCGTCCCTGTCCCCACTCAAAGCCCCAGGCAATCACTAATCTGCTTTTTGTCTCTGTAGATCTGTCCTCTGCCCCCGCGCCCCCCCCCCCGCCGCTTGTTCAAAATTTCATATAAATGGAGTCTACAGTCACTTAGTATAATTTTTGAAATTCGTCCACACTGTGGCAGGTGTCAGTACTGCACTCCTTATTGCGGAGTACTGTTCCGTTGTACGGGATGTGCCACGGTCTGTTTATCCATCACCAGGTGATGGACGTCAGGATTCTTTCTGGTTTTTGGCTGTTATGAATAATGCTGCAGTGAATATTCGCTTCTAAGTTTTTGTGGGGTATAGGTTTCCTGTGTCTCATGAGAGTGGAGTTGCTGGGTCACATAAAAATTTACATTTAATTGTTTCAGAAACTGACAGGATCTCCACGGCCGCTGCCCCACTTTTCCTTCCCAGCGGCAGAGGTTGCGCGTCCCGTTCTCTGCTCAGCCTCATGAACACTTGTCACTCTCTGTCTGTTTTGTTTTTTTTTTTTTAAGATTTTATTTTTTTATTTGAGAGAGTGAGCACAAGCAGGGGGAGCAGCAGAGGGAGAGGCAGACTCCCCACTGAGCAGGGAGCCCGATGCGGGGCTCGATCCCAGGACCCCGGGATCATGACCTGAGCAGACGCTTAATCAACTGAGCCACCCAGGTGCCCCCCATTCTCTGCCTTTTTGATTGTTGCCGTCCTGGTGGGTGTAAGCCAGAATCTCATTGTGGTTGGGATATGCATCTCTCTAATGACCAGTGATACTGCACATCTGTATGCGTGCTTTGACTGTTTTGTAGTTTGTACAGTGTCTTTGAAGAAATGTCTATTCAAATCCCTGGCCCGTTATTTAAATCGTTTGCCTTCTTACAGCTCTTTATGTATTCTGGATACAAGTCTTTTTTCAGACATGCTCAGTAACCATGTTCTCCCAGTCTGTGGCTTCTCTTTCCGTTTTCTTGAGAAATAAAAAAGTCCTATTGATCATTTTCTCTTCTGGATCCGGCTTTTGGTGTCAGATATAAGAAATCTTTGCCTCACCTAAGATTACAGCGATTTTCTCTTATATTTTCTTCTTAAAAGTGTTACAGGTCTAGCGCCTACATTCAAGTCAGTAATCCATTATGAGCTCACTTTCGTGTATGATGTTGCGTAAAGGCCCAACTTCTTTCTTTGGTGCGTGGATAACCAGTTGTCCCAGCCACTTGTTGAAAAGACTCTCCTTTCCCCATTGAATTTGCCTGTGTTCAAAGTCAGCTGACCATAAATATAAGAGTTTATTTCTGAACTCTCAGTTGGTTCCATAGATCTATGGATACACCAACACCACACTGTCTTTATTACTATAGCTTCATACGAAGTTCTGAAATTGGGACGGTAAGTCCTTGAATTTTGTTATGTTTCAAAATTGTTTTGGCTGTTCTGGGTCTTTTGCATTCCCATATAAATCTTGGGGTCAGATTATCATTTTCTGGAGGAAAAAAAAACAAATCATCTGGAAATTTGATAGGGATTATGTTGAATCTATACATTCCATCTAAGATGGAAGAATTGCCATCTTAATGGGACTGGGTCTTCCAATCCATGAACATGGACTGTCTCGCCATTTATTTTATATTTCTAATTTTCTCTCAGCAATGATTTATACTTTTTAGTATACAAGTCCTGCATTTTTTTCCTTAGAGATTTTATTTTTTTGAGAGAGAGAGCACGTGTGCATGTGCAGGTAGGGGAAGGAGCAAAGGGAGAGGGATAAGCAAACACTGCGCTGAGCACAAGCCCGCTGCAGGGCTCGATCCCACAACCCTGAGATCACGACCTGAGCCTAAATCAAGAGGCAGACACTTAGCCGACTGAGCCACCCAGGTGCCCCAAGTCTTGCGTTTATTTTTATTTATTTCTAAGTATTTTGTTCTTTTGATGTTATTACAAATAGAATTTTCTTCATTTCATTTTCAGCTTCTGTTGCTAGTGTGTAGACATACAGTTGACCTTTGTATGCTGACCTCGTGTCTCGTGCCCTCATAGGTCAGTCAGTAGTTTGATGAGTTACAGCCACCTATGGTGCCAACCAAGAGAACCAGGGGCTCCTCGAGAGCCCGCCACAGAAGCCTTCTGCCTACGGGCATCCAAGAATAAAGGTCACTTCACTAAAGGGTGATGCATAGCTCCTAAGCAACTCCAATGAAAAGTTCTTTAAACCAACTGAGATCCACATCCCCATACGCTCTGCCCACTGGTCTGGGTCCACACTCTGATGTGAAGCAGACAATGCTACTCCCCCTTCCTTGAGACCACTGTGACCAGACTGATCCTTCACTGTGGCTCCAGAGCAGACACCAGCCAGGCCTCCCTGGCCTGTGCATTGCATGACACAGTGGGACCGGTGGGACAGGTCATGTGAACACCATGGTCCCCTTTACTGCAGCCCAGCATTGCACTGCTTCCTCAGAGGCCACATGACCCCTTCTCCCCCCCAGATATGCTTTTATGTCAAAGGAGAGATGTTCGAGCCATGATGGATTTTTTTAAATGTTGCATATCTACTAATCTCTTTGGAACTTTGGCAGGTTCCCCCAAACGGCAGAGGAGTGGAGATAAGTGGCACACGCTCTAGGCTCACATGTAGTACTTTCTGAGCTCAGTGCTCTATGACTTTCTCTCAATCACAGCACGTGGCTTCTGGCACAGCACCTTGCAGAGGCGGGACCGCTCCCACTGGTGGTGTGCAGATTGATTTTTAGGAAATATATGGGACACAACAATAAATAAGAGCTCACAGTGAGAAAAATTACTGTCTTTTAAAGTATCTTCCAGTCTCTCTAGTTACGGCTGGAGAAACTCTCTGTGAGTGCTGGGTTGTCTGTCATATCCTCTTTAACCCCTGTTAACCCACCTCCCGCCCGCCCACTGACCTCTTCCTGAATGAAGAGCAGACCTTGGGAAGTAGCATAATATAATAATACTTTGTCATTGCATATTGTGTATGGCGAGTGCTTTTCCATTTACAGCAGTATTGTAACACTGTCTTTCAAAATAAAGTAAAAAATTTTAAGCTAGCAAGAGAAAATATTAATTAGAGGTGGTACAAAGATAGCCAAGGCGAAGGCGGTCTGGGACGCACTGGGGTGGCCCCCTGCCCAAGCCAGGCCCTGGTCGGCCCCATGATCCTGCTCCTGTGTGTCCCTACTCTGGGTGGCGCCGTGCCCCTCCGCAGCGGGCTCTGACCGTGGACATTAACTGCGTGTGCTCGTGCTCTCCCGCAGGTGCGGCGGGCTGGGGCTGGTGCTGGCTAGCGCGGGCTTCGGCATGCTGACAGCACCCATCATCGATCTGCACAACCAGAAAGGCTACTTCCTGCACCACATCATTTTTGCCTGCTGCACGCTCATCTGCATCATCTGCATCCTCCTGCTGCCTGAGAGCAGGAACCAGAATCTGCCCGAGAACATCTCCAACGGGGAGCACTACACTCGGCAGCCGCTCCTGCCGCACAAGAAGGGGGAGCAGCCCCTCCTGCTCACCAACGCCGAGCTCAAGGACTACTCCGGCCTCCACGACGCGGCCACCGCAGGGGATGGGCTGCCCGAGAACACCACAGCCAACGGCATGAAGTCCATGTAGCTCTGCGCACGGCCTTCCCTGAAGGAGGCACTGTGGGCTCCAGGAGCTTGGGGGCTGTTTGGGCACAGGTTTACAGACCAGGGACCGAACACGTGGCTGGGGGTGGGGGGGGCAGAAAAACCCAATTCTGCTGCTGATGCCACGGATCGCAAGACTGTCAACTGGTGTGGGGAAATTGTCTTTCCAAAACTCTAAGGATCGTGTGTGTGAGGAAGCAAACTCTTTGAAAATAACCCTTCAGACTTTCTTTTCTGCCATGAAATGTTTGTATTTATTTTGGTCATTTTTACGAGAAGCACTTTATTCCCTTTCCTCTAACTGATCTCGAAACAGAACCACCTCCTTCGGAAGAGGGACACGGTTGCCGAGGAAGACACCGTAAGTAGCCAGCGCAGCGGCCCTGGAGGTCACACACCACCCTCGTCCAACACCCCGCACCGGAGCCAGGGGTCACTCACTCTGGGCCCACATCCCCCAAGGCCGCCTGCCTATGTGTGGACAGACTGACCTGTCGTGGAGTGTCTCCATGACCACATTGTAGACAGAGTGAAATGTAAATGATTAGGTTTTTGCTAGAGAGTCTGTGTATGGTTTCTAAAGGGTTTTTGTGTGTGTGTGTGTGTGTGTGTGTGTTTGTGAGGTAAGAGCTTCTGTTCCATGTGTTGGGGGAAAGCAGCTCCCAAATATCATTAAAACCAGCTTAGTCTTTCCTTCGAGATCATCCTTTTGTACTTGATGCTGGAAGCTCCTTGGGGCAAAGTGTACACATTTCACCAGAAATCCTAAGTAACGGGTGGTACTAAGGCCACAGTCTGCCAACACTGGTTTGCCTGGCCGAGCTCACGACGAGCAAGGGTGTGGAGAGGTGAGGTGCGGTAACGTCAGGAATACTCCTTCCCGGGTTTAGCTCCGGCAGGAAAGTCCCCTCTGTCACACTCGGCTTCCTCGCCAGCACAGCCTGAACACGAGGCTACTTTCTGAACTGAAAACCAATAGGAAACTAACTGACACAGACCACTGAGGCAAACCCACAGGAGCGAGGGGTGCTCTCCCGGACGTGGCCTGTCACCCATATCTGGAGCACATGCCGCATAGAAATCACCAGCCTGGATGACTGTCAGCTCCCACCAACTTCACGCTGAAACACGGCAAAGCTTGTGGGAGCCACTCCCCCACGCAGCCCTGCCTTGGCCTGCTTCCTGCTTCCTGTCACCTTTATCAGCACAGAGGAGGGCGAGGAGTGGGGCTCTCACAGGTGAGTCCACCTGACCTCCAGCCTCTTCAAGCATCAAGACCAGTTGAGAGAAAGCAATAACTCACCAAAGTTCAACACCCACCCCGTCCCCGATAGCCAAGGGTTTTCATCGTGTTTCTCACGGCGTCCCCGACAGTGAAGGCTTCCTCCTGCCTTTCCAGGTCAGGCTTTCTGCGCCTGAGGAGCGCGTCACAGGAGACTTGGAGGGCCTCCTCAAGGACACCCAGGGGGCCACGAACAAACAAGCTTCGTTGGCGCAGGCAGGCGCTGCCTTGTAGCAACACAGGCACCCAATTTTTTGGACAGCCTGGTTTCTTTCTAGAATTGTCCACCTCCACACTTTGTGACACATGTCTTTGCTGTGAGCCGTGTTCTTCCAGGGAGCTTGTGGTCTCGAGTCTGTGAAGCAATTAGGGGACTTCCATTGGACAGCGGCTAGAACTCAAAAGGGCCAGAAAAGAGGTTGACGTAACTTCCCTTTCATCCCCGTCCAGCTTTCCACCCGGTCTGTTCTCAGTCCACCCACCACCCTCCCCCAAAACTGCCAGACCCCAGTACGAGCCCGCTGGCTTGCTACAAACACCGTGAGGAGGTGAGCCAGCTCACGGAGTAAACCACACTGTCTCCTCACCGGTGCCTGGGACGGAAGATGCCCGGCGGGCACTCCCCAGCACCACCCACTCTGAGCCCAGCTCACCCACACCTCCCTTCATTGCTTTTAAGTCACTTTGTTCCACGTTTCAATGTTAGTCTGCGTTCACCTCAATCTGAGATCTTCCTTTCCATCTCTGCTGTCTTCACGTGCCAAACTTGCGGGATACCTTTTGCCTTTTTTAAAGTACTTACTACAAAGCCCCCAGGAGGCAAGACCCAGTCAGCCCAGGATAGGACCTGCGCAGCAGCCAGGCCACCGGGGGGTGGGGGGAACACTTGGGAAGGAGCCGGCGAGGGCCCCGAGGCTGCACCCGGCCGGGTGTCTGTCTGCGTCCCTCACCCCGGCGCCAGGACGGCCCGCTTGCTGTCCTCCAGGACTTGGGCGCCTTCCCTCGCTGGCCGCATGGACCTCTGGACCTTCTGTGAGAACCGTCCTGAAGCTGGCGCAAGCCGCCACTAATCTCTAGCCAGGAGGGCAGAGGCGAGGCACGGCAAGGACAAGGTCCTGTTCCTCGGTCTCTGATCTCCCCGTGATGGGACAACTGTGAAGACCAGTCCAGCGGAGACAGCAGTCAGCACTGTCACTTCAGTGATCCGGACTAGAAGAGAAGCTGGCTATGGGGACCGGGCCCTTGGGACCAAAGTCTAGCAGATGTGAACACGGCTGACTCGCCAACAATCCGTGATGTCCTGGCAAAGAGGTCCCACAGCTCTTCTCTGGCGGCAGCCGCGGGGTTAGCCTGAGCTGCTCTCTTGCTGGTTCGGCTTCAGGACACCTGAAGCTCTTAAGGAACGCCTTTATGAGACGAGGACGAAGCAGGAAAGCTTCCGTGCGGGCTGAGCTTGGGGAGATCCCGAACCATGCGAGCAAGGCAAGAGGGGCTGTCTGCGCAGGAGGGGGCTGCCGGCCCCAGCTCCCTGGCGCGGGGTCAGCGGTGCGTGGACTCCTCGGTCCTGCTGCCTCCGTGCTTAGTGAGGAAACACTTCTCAGGCACCTGCTACTTCAAGTCCACCTTCCCCACCACCTCCACCCCACCCCCTGCTGCGGGGGGAGACATCCCCAGCTCCAGCTTCCTCTGCTGCCCACTCCTGCATCCTGCTAGCCTATCAGGGAGCTGTGATCGCCTTCCAATAAAAGTTATGCACAAATGTGAACACCTGAGACAGGGCTGGATATTTCTTCATTTTGTTCTTCTCCAGAAGTCAAGAGTAACGCCACATCCCCTAAAGGGTAGCGCCTCAGACAAATAGGAAACAGTTTTAAATGCTTTGTCTTCTAAGAGTAGAATCCTTTGCAACCAGGGGAAGGGGGCTGGTAGGTTGGTTTGGCCACACAACAGAAAGAGAGCAAAACTAAACCTCTTGAAGGAAGTAATTGCACTCAAACATTACCACTTCCTAGAGCCAAACAAGAAATGACTGAAGTGCCATTAAGTGACCCGTGTGACCATCACATAGCCCGCCCCTGGGGGCCCGCAGGCGCACGCACGTGCTGGGGGAGCCCACACTTAAAACTCTTTTAAAGAACACCTCACTTTAATGTATTGTGTGTTTTGGAAAAGCAGTACACTGTGTTATGTCTAGTGGGGAATACTTCCCTCCCTCTGTCCTTTGGGCAGCCCCCACACATTTGAGGTTTCTGTGTAAGAACCGTGTTACTGTACATGTTGACTGGGATTACTCTGGAGGTGCTCATTCATAGCACAAGCCTAAATCGAGTTCTGAACTGTCGTTCAAAGCTAAACGTCTGCATGATGTCACATTTGTTGTACCTTTGGGGAAAATTTGTATGTAAATGTACAGAAATAAAAAATGTTGCCCCATTAACAAATTTCCACTGGAATGTCTTCCCTACCTCATCTGATGGTATCCAATGAAGGGCATTTCATGACCATTGACTACGAGTAATAAAAACTCTACCTATTTATGGAGCTCTCACCGTCCCTACTTTAGCGCCTCTGTAAACCGAGTCTTTGCTCTCACCCTGAGGGGACAGGAGGTGGCCTCTCACCTCGCCTGCAGGGTCCTGGTCTTAAAGGCAAGTAGAGGCAGAGATCGGATTGCATGCAAACTGTTCCCTTGGTGATGTTCACAGACCACCTGAGAAGTGGGGGCCATCAGCAAACTGAAGCGTTCTTTTCTCATGTGTATTGACGTCCGGCTAACCCACGGCCTGACAGCTCCTAGAGAGGTCAAGAAAGGACTCTCTTACACTGTGATTCTGTGAGGAAGTTCTGATAACCCAAAACTCTCTTCTTTAATGTAGTATTTTTTAACAAGAAAACACTATTTCTTTAATAAAGTATTTATACCAAACTCTTCTCTCCATAGCCCTGATTGTGTGTTACTTACTCTTCTTAGGGAGGCGCCCACTGTGTTTCCAAGCTACGACTGTGGCGGCCGTGGCCTCCGAGGTTAGCACAGCAAGTCTGCAGAGGAGGCAAGCTTCTGGAACCCCAGACCTGCTCCTCTCAGGTGCCTTTATGTCTTGGCCAGAGTGTCACCACCCCTGGCTGCCTAACCACGGGCTCAATATGAGACTTTTGCCACTGCATGGAACCTGTTACAGGGCCCTAACCAATCCGCCTCCAGCAACAAAAGGTCCAGATGGACCTTGAAGATTAGGAAGTTCTTTGCCAGTGGTCCTCAACCTCACCTGTACTGAGCAGCACGTGGGGAGCTTTTCAAATCTGCCAAAGTCTGGGTCCCAGGCCCTCTGAGTCTCCGGGCAAGGGCCAGGCACGGGCAATCTGTGAAGGCCATGCCCAGGGATTCGAATGTGAAGCCAAAGTTAGGAGCCACTGGCCCATGACATACTGGCTTTTGGAAAAGGGTGTGGAAGAAAATGTGTAGCATGTGGAACTAGCAAGACTGGAATCCACTACAAGTGGCAGGCAGAAAAAGGCGAAGGATTAAAGGTAACCAAAGCAGGTGCTTGAGACTTTGGAGAAAAGAAGGACAATGATAGCAAGAAGAGCCAGGAGGAGCTAAAGCATTTGGATCCATAACAATGAAGTAGATAAATAGCATAATTGACATCTGAATTGCCATGCCGCTTACTCGATCATGCGAAGCATGTATATATATGTAGTCCTAACAATAACCCAGCAAGGGAGAGCTTATTCCCAATTTACAGGTGAGGAAACAGGGCCCAGACAAGTTAGAGATTCACCAAGTCCAGAAATCCAGTGAGCAGGCCCAAGGGAGAACAGAGCGGGACAGCGGTGAGCAGCCATGCCGGGGAAGGGCATGCCCGGAAGGGGACGGGAAGGAGATAACCTGACACATATTTTATAAAGACTTACTACCTTAATTCTTTTTTTTTTTTTAAGATTTTATTTATTTATTGGAGAGAGAGAGAATGAGAGATAGAGAGCACAAGAACCTTAATTCTAATGAGGAGCATACACGGCAGGGTCACGACTAATGTACCTCTTTCCTAGATTAGCAGATTAGCCCTCTGCAGTCCTACCAATATCCCATTTTAACCCGTTCCCTGAGTGGCCACACATGCACGCTTGCCTGCCGTTTAGCTCTTCTCCTTCCCCAGGCAGATCGATTGCAGCTTTTTGGCCCACACTCTGGTGAGCGGAAGAAGGAAAGTTAGATGAAGATTTGAAAACAAAACGTAAACACATTAACCTAATGACAAACAGTGAAATTCAATCCATTTATTTCAACGGACATTGTACATAAGTTACAAATCCTCACTTCTGCCA